TAAGGGCACGTCAACCAGTGTTAGGTCACCGGATGTTTGGGTTGTGGGCGAGTAGATAGCGTTAGACCATTGCCTCGTCCTCATCGATGTCTTGCTTCTGGACTTACTGTACATCAGGTAAGAGATGGACAGAAATATAACCAACGATACAATAAACAGTATGAGATTTATGGGGAATGGTATGAAGTAAAACGATATCAACAGTAGTATTGCCACAAGTATTGAAATCTCTGCATAAACATAATTACGGGATTAATAATTAATATTATTAATATGTTTCTGTTTACATACATGTAGGTATAATGTACTGTACAGTATGTATATTTAGAAATAACCAAAATACTAAATACTTATTTAATAAATCAATTAATTGCAAAATATATTATTAAACATACGGTAAAATCGGTTGCACTCCAAGGCGTTATGTATTTGGGGTTCGCCTAACAGGCTATTTGGTCGCACAGTATATAATTGATCTTGTTGACTCTCGTCATTGCGCCGTTTGCCCGGGTATATGCTCTCAACCCATTTCCTATTACTTTGATCGACATATTTTTAATAAACAGTTAAATATAATACAAAATGATTTATAAACATATAATTATAACTATAAACACATTTTAACACTACATTAAAATGATGTATTGATTTAAACTTAAATAAAAATACATAATAATTGGATATATAAATATTTTTATTTCACTTACAAAAACATTTGGATATATCGCATAAAATCCTTATTTACATTCAATATTTAAAATATTACGTTATAATTATTATCAATCATTGATTACGTTTCCAATGGTTTCTCTCTATTTAATCAATTAATTGCAACGAGTTTTGAATATTTACAGAATATTCTGTATGAATGCGTTATTGGACCCATGAATACAGACATTGTGTGCAGACATTCAATAGTTTTGTTGACATAATATGTCTATATATTGGGAGAGTTTACTCTATATTGAGTTGGGGTTAGTCTTATTGTTAACACCACTTTCCAAGAATTACAACTCTAAATGTGTTTCTATATAAATGTCATTATAATATTTAATTAA